CGGGCGCCATAGACCTCCATTATTTGAATGTCAGCAGACAGCAAGAAGCCTCCCAGATCTCCAGATGCATTTGAGATATCAAAAAAGTACTCCAGAGTGTTGTTCAGCATGGGGGTGAGTAGAAAATGAAGGCTAATCATGTTTTGGGTGTACTATTCCTTTAAGGTGTTTTTTGAAGCGTATGGCGATCTCACCTTAAGTAGTTTTTAGTTTAGTTTAAAGTCTATTTTTCATACAAAACTAAAGGCATATACGGGGATAAATGGGTATTGGGGTATGCCGGCCTGACGGTAATGTGATTAGTGCTGCAACTAACAATTATTTTGCTAATGAATGAATCTGTTGACTATTTTTACAGTGAATCCATTAATGATCAGATGGTAAATGATGGATCAGATTGATCGATGAAACGTTCTTTTATCTTGGAGGCAAAATATTTATACTTATTTTTGCAATCTTGCTATAATTGCTGCTCTCAACTGAAGGCGTGTTTTACCGTCTCTATTCTCCAGTTAACGATTAATGGATTACTGAGTTAGCGGGTGATTATTTCATTAATCTGATGAATAGTTTCAGTCTTAGATGTGATGCATGCGGCGCCTGTGGAGCGGCGTGATGGAAGTCACCGCCTGTTGTTTTATCTTCCAGAGATGTGGTACGGCATGTTCCTGTGGGCGGCGGTGTCCTCTGTCATCTTCCACCTGCCTGCCGCCCTGATCTCCCTCGCCACGCTGCGGCAGCATAAGATCGCCAGGTTCATGCCCATCGCCATCCTCCTGATGGGAGTTCTGGGACCAGTGTGCGGGGGGGTTCTCACCAGTAAGTTTTCCATCTGAATGTGTGTTTTTGATTGGGCCTCACCAGGCGGGGCGTGTTTATGGGTTTGCTGTCATTTCTTTCCCCTGACGCCATCTTTCCTCCTAACCAAATCATGTGTCTGTTCTTCGCTCCTTCAGGTGCCGCCATCGCCGGGGTGTACAAAGCGGCAGGGAAGACGATGATGTCCTTCGAAGCGTTTGTTTTTGGAGTGGGACAGTCCTTTTGTGTCGTCATCATCTCGTTTCTCAGGATACTCGCCACCCTTTAGCAGCGCTGGGCTTGTCGCTTCGCTCCTCCCGT